CTGCAGCATCGTTATTCAAATATCGTAATGTATTTCAGCACCATTGTGCACACAATAAATAATATTTAATTATTACACAACGTATATATTTAGCACAAAAGTGAAAGTCTTTTTTTTCGTTATCACATTTGTGCATATTCTACCAAAAGCTTTCCATTCGCCGTGTCTATTAAAAAATAGCAAATAGTCAATTATAATAATAGAAAATTGACGATGAGAATCAATTTTGTTTTACAGTTAACATTACATAAATGTAGTCGGACTTTGATGGCTTAATATAAAATTTTTTAAACTACGTTCAAATTTATTAATATACGATTTTGATTTTGAAAGCACGATTGAACAAAAAAAAAAAAAAGGGAAAAAAATCGAGATAAAAAAGGAAAAAAAAGAAAACTTTAACTTTGAATTAAAAAATATAATTGGTTATTCATAAGTAAAACAATAATCATTAGTTAATAAAATTTAAAAATTTTTAATTTATCTTTTTGTAAAAATATAATTAGTCAGACAAATATTATGGCAAAGCCATCAACTCCTTTTACATGGTTTTATGTGCTTATATGAACTATATCGTGCGAATGTGTTTTGTATTATTATTACAATTATTACATCTGTTTGAAGTATGGAAGCAGCATGCCATTTTCTTTTTTTTTTTTTTTTTTTTTTTTTTTTTTTTTTTTTTTTTTTTTTTTTTGATATAGCACTATAATATTATGTTTGAAGTTTCCATCTAAAAAGTACTTCAGAAAAATCGTAGAAGTATTATTAGATAAAACTTTGACAACACACATTATGAACACGTATGTGAAGTTATTATTTTTTTTTTTTTATGTTTTTTTTTTATTTTTTTTTTTTTTTTATTGACTTCTACCACCCGGATTCCTAAACCTTTCTTGTTTTTCTCGTATCCATAACAATTACATAGATATCACGCGTGCATATTGTTTTATAAATATAATCTCGCTCATCTGATACTGCAATGAAGATTTTTACAATTGAAAATATTGTTTTATCAAAAATGAATTCTCTGAGCACATACGAGACATTATTTATTGTTTAGTGTGTGTTGTGTTGTCTATTGTTCCGACAAATATTAGCAAAATTGAAAGAAGCAAAAAAAAAAAAAATTAATATTTAACATTGAAAAAAATCTAACATCACTTAATTAAAAATAATATAAAACTTTTTTTCTTTTTCTTTTTTTTGTTTGTTTGCTTGTTTGTTTTGTTTTCTTTTTAAAGAAGAAAAAAGATATGAATGTATAGCCAGTTGTTAATAAAACTTAATGACAAATGGAACGATACAGAAAAAATAAGAGAGCGAGATATTATTTGAAGAGAATACATTTATATATTTAATTTTTTTTTTCTTTTCTTAGCTTTGATTAGGCTATTTTTCATGATGAAAATCAAAAGTTTCGATACGCTTGTTTGTTGGTTTTTTTTTTCCTTTTTTTCTTAAATACTGTTGTAGATTATGTTCTTATGTAATATAATATAAGCGTTGTTTTTTTCTTTTTTTTTTGTTTTTTTTTTGTTTTTTTTTTGTTTTTTTTTTTTATTTTTTTCTTTTTTTTTTTTGTTTTTTTTTATTTTTTTCTTTTTTTTTTCTTTTTTTTCTTTTTTTTTTTTTTTTTTTTTTTTTTTTATTGTTATTAGCTAGTGTAACGATATAGAATAATTAATGGCATATTTGCTTTCCTTTTGTAATATCTAACAAAAATCGAATCATTACACTGTAACTGGAGAATATATAAAACATTGGAAACCAAACGTCTTTCTCAAGCCACTGGTTGCATCTATCATATATAATCATGTAATTAGTACAAATGCACCAATAAAAGAAGTACCTTTCATTAATATATAAATGATGATGATATCGGACCAACTGATATATATATATCCCAAATATTTATGTTTTAGCAATATCCATAGGTGATCCAGTTGTATTAGCAGTAGGATTTGTTAACTGAGGACCGGCAGGATTCACAATAGTTGGAGGAATTGCTGGCTTAACAAATCTATCAGATGTACGCCTGGTAGATGGTGGAACTATGTGTCCCTATTTATATAATTCATAAATATAAAATGTTAGTTATAATTTTCATCAGAATTAATAATAATATTAAATTATTTCAATATTTCTTACCCCAGAAGGAGGAGATGAACTAGTAAAAGGAAGAGTAGTTGGTTGACCACACGCATAACACCGATTAGTATTGAAATTTTCTCGTGATGCTGAACCTATTACATTATTACCTGTCAATAATGAATAATTAAAGCCTATAGCACTTGTATGTGCCTTTAAATTATTCATACATATATATATATATATATATATATATATATATATATATATATGTATTCATTCTTTTGTGTTTTACAGTTTTGAACTGTAAAACAATTTAAATACCTGGACTGAGTGGCCTAGAAGAACTAGGCGAAGGATTATACGGGACGGGACTAGAAACCGTGCGATTTCTTATATTTCCACCCGACATTACGATTTCATTATAATGACGTTCTTCTTCCATTTCCAAACTGTTAAAAAAAAAATGTTTTACAAATATTAATCATGACACATGTATGCACAATAATGTGAAAATATATACCTAGATTCTGACTCTGACAAATGTCTACATAAAGCTTCTCGACGTTCTACTTCTAATTGTAGTTTTCTTTGCAGTCTTAAATTTTCTTCGCGTATTTGTTTCTCTTCGTTAACATAACGTTGCATTTTTTCCGTATCTAGAAATGTTACAAATATAAAATTACAGGTAAAAGATAAGAGCATATGATAATTAAATATCCTTACGTTCTTGTTGTGATATTAATAAAGTATGCCTTAAACGTGCAACCTCACTTCTTAATGTTTGAATATGTGTACTTAAATTAGTCGCAGTATCACCATTATTAATTTCCCTTGGAGAAGTTGGATCTGATACTGGTTGATCCAATTTTATTTGAAGCATTCTTTTTTCCGCTTCTAACTTGTCCATTCGTTTCCATAATTTATTGACCAAAGCTTCTTGCTCTTGTTCAAGTGTATTTTCAAGCTCAACCTTTTCTCTACGTAACTGTTCCAAATTGCTTTGTTTCGCAAGAGTTTCTGCCTCCAATTTTTCTATTTTTCTCATTAACTTGTTCACAAGACATTCTTGTTCTTGTTCTAATGTTTGTTCTAAGCGACATTTCTCTTGGCGTAATTGATTCAATTTTCTGGACAGATCATTTGTTAAACATTCTTCTTCTTGTTCATAATGATGAGCTAACGTTTCTTTCTCCTTCTTAAGAGCCTGTATCTTTTTTAACAATGTATTACTTATAAATTCTTCTTCTTGTTCCGCTTTAGCTTGCTAAAAAGAACAAAGCCACGATAATGAAATAAACTTTACGGTAAAAGAATTAATTATATTCTCTATCATTCACTTTTAATTTATATATCTGATTCATCCATTTTCTCTATTTTCTATAATCTTTATTATATACATATATCATTCAATGACACAAAAGATGATTATAATAAGACCAACAACCATATTGTTTTGTCTCTATAAAAAATATATCAAACAAAAATATATAAAAAATATACTCAAATATATCAAAAACAAAATATATATATATATATATAAAAGTTTAATTAAATACTTTATGAGGATATATATATACTCATAAAGCTTAATAAATACTTCAAATATAATTTAAAACATTCCTATTGAAGTAACAACTGATATTTTATAATTTTTATAAAAATCATACATTAAGAAAATACTTAGAAACGTACAACAGGTTAGATCATAGAAATATACATTGAAAAGGAAATATTTTTTTAGAAAAATTCATACAAATTTGTTTCCATTAATATATATATATATATACATATATATATATATATATGTATATATGTGTATATATATATATATATATATATATATATATATATATATATAAAGGAGATATTAAATTTCAAAAGAAAAACGAAACATAAAAGAAACTTACTATAATGACAGAAGCTTGACGAAGGCTACGATTCTCTTCCTGGAGTGCCTTTACTCGTAATTTATACGTTTCGAGTTCAACTTTAAGAACACGATTATGTTGTTGAAGCGATTCAATTCTTTTTTGTAATTGTTCACGAGAAATAGGAGAGGGTGGCATCATAATCGGACCACCGTCGATTGAACTCGAGTCGCTTTCGGATGCGCTATCACGGTCAGCCATTTTTCTCGGGTTAGAGAAATTATTCAAAAAATACAACCTAGAGAATATTTTTCATTTCACAAAAAACCATTTACTAAAAAGAACGTCCTTTACCCTTGTCAATTATATTTTATCGAACTTACGAACTTCAATACTTTACAATGAAAAAACTGACTAATATTCTGCGACTATACCGCACGAAACATGTGCTTTAAACCGAAACAAATCAGCTGTTTCGTCTTTCACCGACTATTTAAAAAAAGGTGTGGGCGCGTCGGCGAGCTCGCTGCGCACTGCAGAATTCATTAAGGTTACTTTTCATGAAATCTCAAGACGATGATCAACGATAGACAATGAGATTATATTTTTCGAATTCAAAAACTTTTTGCATTTATTCATTAAAATGATACGCCAAAAATATTAAAATATGAAATAAACCAAATAGTAAAAAAAAAAAACAAAATATTTTTGTTAAAGTATTATTCTCATTGGACGACCACGTATCCTTTAATTATTTTTATTATATCGTCTTTTAATTTTTATTTCACGTTACATTTCTTTCCTTTTCCTTTTTCTTTTTTTTTCTCTTTCTTTTTTTGTTATAAATTGATTAAAACATTTTTAATAGAAATAATAAAATATGCGAAACATTGCGAGAAGATTATTAAAAGACTATTTTCATTGGACAACTAATGTATTCACCAATCATTTTCGATTAATATTATGTAATTTTTTTCTTTCTCTTTTTCAATTTTTATTTCATATTAAATTCTTTTTTATTACTAAATGATTTGAAATATTTAAATTCAACTAGAAAAAATATATTACAATATGTAATATGTTACTAATAAAAACTTAACCTAATATATTATATATTTAATTCTTTTTTGCAATATTGAAAAGTACAGAAAATATGATTGAGAATTAATGGATTAATAGAAATTTTTTAAATCCTTTATTTTTCTAATAAATCATTGATAAAAATTGGACAAAAATTGTGATCTAGAGATCTTATAAAATAAATTCTACTTGTCAACACGTCGAAGGGATTTCATGTATTTACATATTATTATATCATTATACATTATCTAATATTGACAAATTAATCATTGTATTACATGTAACTTTAAATTTATCACGTTATTTTAAAGAAAGCGAATAATTTATAGATTTTAAAAGTAATTATTTTTATAACGAATAAATTTAATAGTACATACGTGTATCATTGATTATAATCCATAAGTGATAATTATTAAAAAAATTAACGTAATATTTATTATCACGGGTTTATCTGTTAATAATTTCTTTTCTTGTTATTACTGTGCTTTTTTTATTTTTTTATTTTTCTAACAGGAGCCTTTTAACATGTTGTTAGTTCACTTTTTTCGCGTGCATGTCGCTGAAGTCACACATGTCTTGAATGATATTGAACAATCTTAGTATCTGCACACATTATGCCATTCTTTTTCCTATCAGTAATGTCGTTGAATTTTTATTGTGTCTAGTGAAAATGATAATTGAAACAGTATAAATATATTCTACACATAAAAGAAAAGAAAAAGAACAGTGCTTTAAGTTGATTGATTATTTAAATATAAAGATCAAGAAGAGAGGTATAAACAAAGTTAACAAAATAATATTTATTTTTGTCATATAAAATATAAAAAAAAATTGATTCTTATTTACTGTCCATATAGAAAAAAAAAAAAAAAACAAAAAAAAGGATAGAACGTAGAAGAAAAATAACTTAATACGGCATTAATTCTTTTATAAAAGTATATTTGTGATTATAAAATTGTTAATAAAAATATTTGTTTTGTTTTTTTAGTTTATATAAGAAATAACAATGTTACGTAGTACTATCAATACAATATTACTAAGAGGAATGTATTCTTCACGTAACTTAATGCCTATTGAATGTTCATCGCATTTTTCGTATACTCGTCAGAAAGCAATTGTACAAACGAATATGGAACAAAAGCGATATTATCAAAATTTTGGGCATAAAAGACCACCAATGGATAGACATTCTTACTTGCTAATTATTGTTGGATCAATTCTGATCTATACTCTCACCAATTTTATAGAGTAAGAAAATAATTAATTATAAGAAATAATAAAAGTCTAAACACGAATATTCTTATAGATATCCGAGAAAAGTAAAATTTCCAAAAGTAGATGCCGCTGATTTGTTACAAGAGAATGATGAAGAAGAAGAAGATAAAAATGTGAATACCACAGAACAGGATGATCATAAAAAGAAAAAAGGAAAAAAAGAGAAGACAGGATTTCGTGATAGAAAGGTTAAGTGATATTGTGAAATTGTCAAGTTATTCAAAATCTAAGCATATTTATTTAATAGTATAAAAATAATTTTATGAACTATTAGCGCTTATAAATATAAAGAAATGTTATATAATGACCATGTAGTGTTATATTTAATTAATAAGAAATTTGACAAGATATTTTGACAAAATATTCAATAATTCACATTCTTAACCTAGATTAAATGAAATTATTATATTCTATATATTTAAATTAGTATAATTCATATTATAGGTAAAAAGTTTAAATGTTAATAAAGTCAGGAGAATTTTTACAGATAATAGAATATGAAAATAGGATCAGAGCTTATTCAACGCCAGATAAAATTTTTAGATATTTTGCTACTGTAAAAGTAACTAGTTTAAGAGGTACAGAGATATATATGACACCTGATGATTTCTTAAGAGCTATTACACCTGGCATGAAACAACCAGATGGTAATATTTTTAGTGCAAACATATTGATCAATAGTATAATTAATATTAACACAATTTTAATTATTTCTTTATGCTACTAACAGATAAAAATTCTAACTTGTATATAAAAAAAAGTGTTATTGTTATGAGGCATATTTGATTTTAATCAATAATTAATTTCTATTTTTGATAGTATCTATGTGTGAAGGCAATGAGTTGAAATATTGAAATTTTCTTTTTTATAAGCATCTAATATAATTCAAATGAATTATTGATACTTATGAATTCATGAAATAAGACATATCAATTGTTCCAAATGTGTCATACAATTTATCAATTAAATTACTTTACTAACTTTTAATATATTCTTAAAATACAGATAATAGAATATGAAAATCGTATAAGGCATTATTCAACGCCAGATAAAGTCTTCAGATATTTTGCAACACTACAACTGACAAATAATGATATACATGAGGTACTTATGACACCAGATGATTTCTTAAGATCAATGACACCTGGTATAAAACAACCCGATGGTAACTTTTTACATATAAAATGTTAATGTATTGTTTAATTTTTTTCAATAATTTTATCAATTTTAATTTTTCCTTAATTATATTATTGTTCTTTTTTTTTTTTATTGATTTTGTTTCTAATGCCTTCTATGAAAGTTTCCATATAATCGTATATATCATTTTTCATAGATAATTTACAATGAAACAACACAATTTTTCAAAAAATAATAATGTAATAATAAAAGAGATTACAATTGAAATAATTATATCTTTATATTGTCGTATAAGGTACTGTAAAAAAGAGATAAATGAAATAACTGGAATGTATGTGATGTTATTAATTGTATTATACGTTTTCAAAGTGTTATAATCCTGCATAATCATGTATTATTGCTTGCATTATATAATATTTTAAGTCTATAGTTCAGTTATAATAATAGTTATTTATAATAGCAATATATCATACTAATCTTGTTTTAGGTCTCGGATTGGATCAATATAAAAAATATGATCCCAAGGTATGTTTAATAAATTATATTTTGTAATATATCATAAAACAAACTTAAATATATTATTATTATTTAAATATATTGTAAATGTAATTTTTTATTTTCTTAGAATATTCATGAAAAATTAGAATTAGCATTGGATGAAAACAGTATCTTTTATAAATTAGGAAGTGCTGGGCTTATCACATTTTCTGATTACATTTTCTTATTAACAGTGTTATCAAGTAAGTTCAATGTATATTCTTATCTATTCATATTTCCTTAAAAAGAAGGTAGGTATAAACACATTATATATTTTAGCTTCTAGGCGTCATTTCGAAATAGCATTCAGAATGTTTGATTTTAATGGTGATGGCGATGTAGATTCTGAAGAATTTGGAAAAGTTGCTACGTTAATACGTCAACAAACTAGCATTGGTAATCGTCATAGAGATCATGCTAATACTGGTAACACATTTAAGGTTAAATTTATTATTATTTGTTTACATAAATTTTACATGAATTATTGTATTGAATAAATTACTTAATGGTAAAATTTTGTAGGGTGTAAATTCAGCTTTGACAACTTATTTCTTTGGTCCTAATATGAAACAGAAATTAACAATAGAGAAATTCCTAGACTTTCAGGAACAACTACAAAGAGAAATTTTAAGTCTTGAGGTAATACATTTATATATATATACATACATACACACATCAGTTTCTATTTTCTAATGATATATTTTTTCACAGTTTGAGCGCAGAAATCCGGATGAAAATGGTAAAATAACCGAAGTAGATTTTACCGAGTTATTATTAGCATATGCTGGTTATTCTGATAAAAAAAAAGCAAAAATGTTAAGGAGAGTAAAAAAAGCGTAAGTATAGATTATAAATGTACAAAAGAATAGACATATATACATGTTTATGATAATATAACCAAATTTTAATATCACAGTTTCAAAGAAAATCCAAAAGGAATTAATAAAGAGGAGTATCTCAAGTTCTTCCATTTTTTAAATAATATTAATGATGTTGATACGGCTTTAACATTTTATAATATAGCAGGTGCTTCTATTGATCAAGGTATGTCTTGTGTATTTTTTTTTTTTTTTTTTTTTTTTTTTTTTTTTTTTTTTTTTTTTTTTTTTTTTTTTTTTTTTTTTTTTTTTTTTTTTTTTTTTTTTTTTTTTATAAACTCAAAATGTATTTCTATGTGTGTTGTAGCTACATTAAAACATGTAGCAAAAACAGTTGCGCATGTAGACTTAAGCGACCATGTTATCCAAGTTGTATATACAATATTTGATGAAAACAGTAAGTTTTATTTCTATCTATAAATTTATATTTTATATTTATAAATCATTATAAATATATAATAAAATTCATGTTATATTTTATCTAGTGGATGGACAACTTAGCAATAGAGAGTTTGTAGCAGTAATGAAAAATAGGGTACTTCGTGGCTTAGAAAAACCAAAAGATACAGGATTTATTAAATTAGTACAATCACTAATTAAATGCGCAAAAAATAGTTACTTTATTCAGTTCGATAAATAATTATTTATAATTCATAACATTAATATTAATTCCTTTTTGTATTTATAGATTATTTTTTATAACAATTTTATGTAATTATAATTTATTTATTCAATTTATATATTTCTGTAGATATAATTTTTCAATTTTAGCCGTGTCTATACTGTTCTATTTATAATGTAATAATGCTTAAGATAGCAATTTGATTCTTTTTAAATTAATGAAAATATTGCTTATACATGTTTCTGTGAAACCGTTCATTAGATAAACAGAATCTCATATAATTGAATCAATTCTATATACTGAAATAAAAGAAATATTTATATAAAATACCAAATAATTTATGTTATTATTAGGATAGATATCTGAAAATATATTTGGCAGTAGATAATAATACATTATTGTCAAAAGTAAGAAAAAAAAAAGATAATACTATCATAGTACAAGATGTAATAAATTCCTTTCACATCTGTTTAGTAAATAGAGCATAACATGTAAAAGTTCTTTAGTTTCTCTTACTATTGAATTGTATCATTATTCCAATATTATCTGTTGATCGTGTAACATATGATTTTGTTATATTTTCCATTATTAATTTTTATTGGTGTTTTTATGTCATATATTGCGTTATTACAATGATAAAATATATAAACGTAATGGTTCTATGGCAACTTTTAATGATTATAAATATTAACGCAAAAACTACACAAATTCTCATGAAGAATGATGCGCCAAGTAAGTTATAAAACAAATGTTCAATAAGATAATTCATTTCATTATACATAGAAAACAGTTGTCTTAACTTATTAATTTATAAAAATTATAAATGTATATAATTAAAATTTTATATAGTATATGGCGTAAATATATACATATTAAAAAATAATATTTATTTACAGTAGATTCAAATTCACAAGCAATAAATAATGAAGAATCATTAAAAAGTGATGCGAACAATGATTTGCTAAAAAAAGGGCAATTTTTTAGGTTGGTACGACATAATTATTTACAAAAGAATAATAGTCTCTTATCATATCAATATTTTATTTAGAGATCTGTTCTCCGAACAATTATCGGCCCATGAAATTGAGTTTGGCCATGTATGCGAAAATCCTGATGAATGGGAGCAACGATTTGAACGAAAAGATATGAAAGAAAATAATTATCGAGGGAAGGTATAATTAATTATACTTTCTCACTGTATCATATTTTCATTCTGATCCTTGTTACTCTAATCACTTATGTTTTAGATCAAATGGGGAAACAAAAATGGAGAATATGGAGAACATTATTGGGATTTGAATCATTAAAGTTAAAATAATGTTAAAACTCTTTAATAATTGTAATAGATTAGAATAAATATTATAATAAGCAAATATTTTTATGATTATACTGATGTACTTGTAAATTTTGGAAAATTTAACGCGTTAAATAAGTTATGTTATACATTGATTAAAAATTGTAAAGAAAATAATAAAGAGATTAAAATGAAATTAAATAGAAAATATATATATATATATATATATATATATATATATATATATATAAAATTTGTAATTTCAATATGAGATTTATTACAAAATAAAAAACAAAAAATTATCTAGATGGCGCAGGTGAATTTATATATAAAACGTTTGAAGAATTTCACTTAAAAATTAATTGAAAATTATATCATTAAAATTCATAAGTTTAACGTCATAGATAAGAAATGGAATCATCAAATATAAAAGTTTCGTTTGTTGAAAATTCAAATAAAAATAAGAATCCTGAAAATGAAACTACTCCGCCAATGTCAAATATTATGTTTATTAGCGATGTTTTGGCTCAACGAATAAACAATGGTAATAAAATATTTTATTATATAACAAAATTACAAATACTTTAAAAATAAATTTTATATAAATATATATATAAAATATACATAAATTAATTTTTATATAATATATATATGTGTGTATACATTATATATACATACATATATTATATACATAGGTATATATTTAATAATTATTAATTTAATAGGTACGATAGAGGTAGATGATATTGAAACTGATGATCGATATTGGGCGGAGAAGTTAACAGCTCTAGATGAAGAACACACAAAAAGGAACAAACTTGAATCAAAAGAAATAGAAAAACTTTTTCGTAGTGTAGTAAATTATGCACAAAGTACAAGCTCTAAACCTTGCTCGTCGGAACAGATAAACGTATAATAATGAAAGATAAATACAATTATATTTACGAACGTTTCTCGGTAATACTTTTAAAAAACTATTTTTTTTTCTTTTTGTCATTTACAGGTTAAAGATTGTTATAATAACAATAAATGTCAAACGCTTCGTTGTAATAAAGAAGTTCACAATTTTATTAACTGCGTAAATAAAATGTTTCACAAGTCCGTTAACAATAATGATAATGATATCTTTCCATTCAACAGAAAGTATACGTACACTGAAAGATTCAGAAGAGGATATTAATTTATATTAATTTATATATATATATGTATATATATATGTATATATATGATTTTTTGTTTTTATCAATTATTATTTGGAAATGTGTATGAAAAGAAAACATATAAACCTTGATATAATAAAATTTTGTACAAGTCACCTGATCATTCATTAAAAACTATATATATAGTACATATTCTCAACAGCATCGGTGGTTCAGTGGTAGAATGCTCGCCTGCCACGCGGGCGGCCCGGGTTCGATTCCCGGCCGATGCATATCTTTTTTTATTTATTTTTTCTATTTTATTCTATAAATTTTATTTACAATATTCGCTAAAATCATTTAATGATTTATTATTTTATAATTTATTTCAACAATGAAACATCAAAAGTAATATTTTTTACGAAAAAAGATTTGTAAATAAAATTAAAGCTTTTTTTATAAAATTTGTAAACTTTTTGACAGATATCGAATAAATTTTCTTTTACATTATGATGAATAAATAACGAATTTATCTCTTTAAAATTTAAATAATTTATACTTTTGATAATCTGATAATTATTTAAAACAATTTAAGATGTATACGGGATACAATAAATTAATATCTAAACAATAATACATTCGCTTAAACATTAAATGAATAACAATTAAGTTTAATAAAAAATCAATTAAATTTAATAAAAAATCAACTGAGAGAAACTTTTTATCGATCTTTCGTCCATTATTTTGTGCAACAAAGTTCATATTTTGTCCACATCTGTCGCTTAAGTCGTCTCTTTAAAAGCGACATTTAACTAACAAATAATATTAATCTTTTTTGACCAATGAGAGATTAGAATAAAAATAAAGGAACGCAGTATAGGAAACATAATAATATTGGCTATAATAAATATAGGATAAACAAATTCTAATTTGTTTAAAACATTGATAAATCGTTAAAGAAGCAAACATTGTTATTTTACAATTTGAAAGAGGTGAATGATTAAAATTATAATAAAATTTGTTAAAAATCAATATGATCGAAGAAACACGAGTTTTTCCAACTAATGGATCACAATTTATGATTAAAAGTCGTTTAAACTCGGCGGAAAAAAGTTTTATGCTTTTGAAAAAAAAATCCGACATTTTGTTGATACATTTTAAAGAGATATTAATAGAATTATTCGAAAAGAAGTCTTTATTAAAAGAGGTTATGAGGGAAGCTTCCTTTTCATTGGCCGAAGTTAATTATATCACTGGTAATATAAACAATTTAATATTGCAATCGGCAAATAAAGCTACAATTAAAATATTAACACGAAAAACGATCATTATGGGTGTTAATATACAAACTTATGAATATTATGAAGAAGGTTTAGATCCTTTTCTTTATATTGGTTTAGCCAGAGGAAGACAACAGGTATTAAATTATTATCTTTGATATGTCTAAATTAAAGAGAAAGAGAAATATATAATTTTATATTAGATATATATACATATAATATTGAATTTTACAAAGAGATATCAATTCATATAATTTTATTTAATAAATTAATATTTTATTTAAATAATATATAATATTAAATTAATATAATTTTATTTAATAAAAATGAATATATATATATATATATATATATATATATATATATATATATGTATATTTGTTTACATTGATAGGTGATGAAGGTAAAAAATAATTATCGAAAAGCATTAGAGCTTTTAATTAAATTAGCATCCTTACAATCTAGTTTTTTAACATTGGAGAAACATATAAAAGTAACTCATCGTCGTGTTAACGTACTACGTTATATTATCATTCCACGATTAAAATCTATGCTGGTATATATAATCAGTGAATTAGATGAACGCGAGAGAGAGGAAATTTATAGATTGAAAAAAGCACAAACTCGTAGAAGGATAACTTTAAAAATAATAAAAAAATTTTCACCGATCCAAGATGTAAACGTAATATTAGACGATATTGATCAAGATCTACTCTTTTAAGATCATCTCGTAAGATAACTTATCGTAACGATAGGACTCTATTTTCAATTTAAATATTTAATATAAAAAAAATTTTTGCTCAAACGAATTATTGATCTCGAAGAGAAGGAATGTATGGAATGGTGCTATTATTGAAAAAATGAGGATGGGAGATGAACAAAAAAAAAAAAGAAAAAAAACCAAAGTAATACCAATCAAGAGATCTATTTCCTTTAATATTACATATACATATTCTAATAACATTTATCTCTAGAAGATAATTAAAAATCAAAGATGTACAAAAAAAAATCATAAAAAAAATAAAAGATTGAATTAAATTAAATCAAGGAGAAAAAAAATAAATGAAATAATATTAAAATTGTATGATTATGGGTAAATTCAATCTTTGGAAATGGTGTAAAATATTATACCACCATGCGTAAAAAGCTAAGCAAAAAGTCGGCGAAATAGTTTTTAGACTCACCTAATTCCAAATATATATATATTTAATAAAATCGTTATAAAAATGGATTCCGAAGGTGTTGCTTAGTATTAAGAAATTTTATTCGAAGGACTTGGAAAGAACGACAAAAAAAAAAGAAAAAGAAAAAGAAAAAAGAAATGGAAAAAGAAGAAATACGTTGTTATTGGAAGAATAAGAGGGTGAAGGGAGAAGAGTTGAAGAGTTGAAGAGGCAACGTGGAATTTTTCACGTTACCACTGATGAAACGAGTATACGAAAGATTTCTCTACTCGATAGGGAGAGTTCTTCTCCTCGTTTCGGAAGCTCCTACACTTGGAAGACTTTCTTGGACCAGCAGGAGGGACTTTAGGAGGGTCGTGAGGAGCAGCAACCCAGGCTGCTCTCTCATTATCATATCCCAGTGTTTGGCGGCGGTTAAGGTTGGCTTTATGGGGCTGTATTTTCTTCGTATAATTGGGCTTCGCGCTCCGGTGCCTCTTTCTCCTTCTCGTCTCCTCTCATCGTCTTTTTCGTTTCTCTTACTCTGTTGCTGCATCTTCTCTCTTTCTCTTTCTCTTTCTCTTTCTCTTTCTATCTGTCTGTCCGTGTGTATGCCACAGTGCCTCGAGCATTTATTATACTTCGACCAGCAACCATCTCTAACTCTGTCTCTTTCTGTTTCTTTATCTTTCTCTCTTTCTATATATATATATATATATATATATATATATATATATATATATATATATATATATATATATATTTATATATATATATATATTTCCATTTCCTTCTTTCCTTTTCTCCTTCCTTCCTTCATTCTTTTTTTCTTTCTTTCTCTGCTTTTTGTAATTTATTATCATTATTGTCGTCTAAATAATAACGACTCGTTCGAGGAATAATTTTACCATTTTTCATTTATTTTTTTCTTTTTTTCTTTCTTCCCTTCCTTTTTTTTTTTTTTTTTTTCTTTCTCACTATGGACATGAAAGAGAAATAAAAAGATGCAAATAAGAACGATTTTGTATTTATTTATTTCGTCGATCAATATCAATATTATATGTTTCGTTTGATTTCGAAATAAAGATTTAGATTTGTTTTTCTTCAACAGGGGATAAAATGATTGGTACTGGCAAAATGTTTGGAATTGTTCTTGTTTTTTTCTAAAAATTTCCATGTATAAAAAATATCATCGCATATTTTCTCAAAATATTTTCATGATTTTTCTAAGATTTCGTAAGATTTAATATATTGGAATAAGTTGATATAGAATTTTAATGTTGAAGAAATTTTTAGTATAAAAAAAAAAAAGAAAAAAAAATAACAAAAATTTTGCATCTTTTTATTTCATTGATAAATATCAATGTAATCTGTTCCGTCTGCTTTTTTTCTTTTTTTTTTTGTTTCAAAAAAATTTTAAAGATCAAAAAAACATTAAATCCATTATACATAGAAATTTTTTGTTCGAAATTAAAAGTCTTGAATTTTATCAGTTACATCGTCACGGCACGTGGCATTGGAGTGGGGGTGACAAAGATGAAATTCGTGAGAAGGGAGGGGAGCCAAATAAATAGATGCCGCCACTGGCGATCATAGCGACGCTCCTTGGAAGGATAACGAAAGTCAGTATTACGAGAACCCCGGTAGCGAGTGGTTGTTTTTCCCCGTTATTCCGTTAAAATTGACACGCGCTCTTCGTGAATTCATTTTCTTCGGAATTGTTTATCGTTTATTTTAAAGAACTCGGTGATACTTTCTTCTTTTTTTTTCTTTTTGTTCTTTTTTTTTTTTGTTTTTTTTTTCTTCTTCCTTTGGAATACATATACGTCAAAGAATTTACAGTGTAGGTGTAAAAGAGAACGAACGAGATTGGTATGCGATATATATACACATATATATATATCGATAAATTAAATCAATGCGAATTAATAAAAATTAATGTGTGAAAGTAAAGGTGGATTTACATGAGAAGCTATTTTTGGCAATGTAAAAAATTAATTCACTTAACAGTTTGTCGATGATTTATCACAAATAATGGATTTAACATGTAACACGAGAGAATGTAAAAAGAAGGAAGAAGAAGCAACAACAGGAAAATGATATAATAATTCGTTTAGTAATTAACGAATCTTTTTGATTGCGAAAAAGTTTTGTTTTACTTTTTACTTTTTTTTTTTTTTTTTTTTTTATATATATATTTAAAGTCATTTCACTTCTAAGTGATCTTAAGTTTTTACGTATCCTACTGTATTCGCGTGATCTCTTTGAATTCCAAAGGAATTCTATTTCTTTTTCTTCGTTTATTTTTTTTTTCCTTCTCTTTTTTTTCTTTTTTTTTTTTTTCACGTTGGCACGTATGATGTACGACGTGCAAGTGGGAATTATAAACGGAAATGTAAACGAAAATACGCGGTAGAAAAGAGTGGAATAAGAGAGGGTGGCGGGTAAGAGAAAAATTATCATTAAGAAAGGCGACTCGAGTAGGCGAATGTAAACAAAAAGACGTAAACAAAAAGGACAGCATGTCGACGAATCATTAAAAGAGAATAAATAAATGAATCAAACCTAAAAATAAAAACGGGCCTAAGAAAAACTGAATGGATTAAAGTGGCCGGTTCTATTTTTTATTATTATTATTTTTTTTTATCATTATCATTATCATTATTATTCTTTCCTGATCGACAAAAGTGTTGTTGTGAAATTGTTATATAAAAAAGAAAAAAAAAAAAAGAAAGAGACAGAGAAAGAGAGAGAGAAAGAGAGGGAGTTGGAAGAGGGAGAAAATAGAAGGAAAGAGAAAGAAGATACGAGCGTTTTTTTATAGTGAAAAGTATTTACGTAGAAAAACTTGATTAGAAGAAAATGTGGTGGTTCTTGTTATTGATATTCTTGCAAAGGATGCAACACGTTCGTGGTGCGTGCGAGCCCATAAGGATAGAAATGTGCCGTGGTTTGGGTTACAACGTGACCGCCATGCCGAATTTGGTGGGCCACGAGATTCAAGGAGACGCCGACTTCACCCTACAAACGTTTAGCCCGTTGATTCAGTACGGATGCAGGTGAGAACAGTGTTTCTCAAACTTTAATATTTAATCATTTCTAATAATATTATATAAATATAACGATTATACTATGATATGTTACTTTTGATAATACTATAATACATTTTCATTTCAATTAAATTTCTTTTGATCGGTTGTTTCATTTTTTCTTTTTCTTTTTTCTTTTTTTTTCTTTTGTTATTCTTTATTTTTTTTTTTTTCATTTATCTTCAAATGTCAAATTTGAAAAATGAAAAATTTTTCATTGAAATGATACCTCTATAACAGCATACATATTATACATTAAATAAAAAATGTAATATGTCTATATATACATATATATATATATTTATTTTTTTTATTTTATTCCCATTGTTGTACTATAGTTTTAACCATAATTTTATCTATATGTATATAGAAAGGACATACCAGTTAGTTATATATATATTTCCATGAGGCATGTGAAGTTGAGAACCACTGATTCCCAAACAATTTCGTTTATCCCAACACACATTGTTGACCGTACATTATGTGCAAAATATAATCCGATTTAATCGGCTATATTCATAATTGAATTAAAATTAATGTTATTAAACGATTATTAAAAATTCAATGAAATTAATAATATAACAAAAATTAATCAAATACATTCTAACGCAATAAATCGATATTTTCGTTATATAAGCTACAGCATTTATACACGTGACCATTTAATCTCAACAACGTATTAAAAGATCTATTTCGTTTATTTTAAAAATCTAAATCTACAAAAATCTATATATATATATATATATATAATAGATAGCTGTATCTGTAAATTATACAGTACTATCTCGTGCATAAACACACATATATATATATATACACACACACACACACACACATTTGAATATAAGAAATATAAAATAGTGATATATATAGAAAGCTTAAAAGCCCTCGCAGAGGGGTTACATTTCGAAGATAAGCAAGTTTAATATGTAACCAGTGCTAGCAGCTGAAAGATAAAATAATCATGGTAGCGAAGGGGGTGATATGTACTTTCATGAATTTGTAGAAAGATAGAACGAAACAAAATTTTGGTTGGTTTATAGTATTCTTTTTTTTTTTTTTTTTTTTTTTTTTCTACGAATTCGAGGATTATCTATTATAAATGAATGAAACGAAGTATGATTTGTAAAAGTATTACATTTCGATCGTTACAGTGCTCAGCTTCATTTATTCCTTTGCTCGGTATACGCACCAATGTGTACGGAAAAGGTACCTTCGCCGATCGGCCCTTGTAGAGGTTTATGCGAACAAGTCAGAGCAAGATGTTTTCCAGTTCTTCAAGGTTTTGGTTTTCCTTGGCCAGCTGCTTTAAATTGTTCCAAATTTCCACCGGTTAACAATCATCAACATATGTGTATGGAAGGACCAGGTGAACCAGGTCCCGCTAATCCTATCCAGGTAATTTTGAGTAAACATGAACTATCACAAGAAGATATCAATTATCTCTTTGAGGCATACGATTTTCAAGAAAATAAAAACCTAAGTTGTACAGAATTTATTTTTTTTTGGATGGGCTGGAGGGGACAAGGGAGGGTAGAACAAAAATACTTAAAATAAAATATTAAACTGTATGACTACGAGTAACTTCAACATTTCGAGCTGAATTCAAATATCCACCATTCGATCTCAAAGAGGTTATAACAATTCTTTATAGAACGTAATATTATGTATAATAATTTTATATTCATTATCATAAAATATAATTATATTCATTGTAATAATATTAATTATCGTTATTAAATATAATTATATTTATAGTAGATAAATATATACTTCATTCGAGAGAATACAATTTCTAATTCCTTTTTTTCTTTTTAAATAAACAAATGATAGATACGCGATAAAAAAAAAAGACAGCAATTCTACAGCAAGTATAAATTTTATTCGTAGGCAGTCGGTGCCGGTGGTGGACCTTGGGGCTGTTCGTGGTACGCCAAATCTGGCTTATACGTATTTCTAAATCGTTCTGGAAGATGCGCGGCAGCTTGCGATGCCGATATACTTTGGTCGCAAAAGGATAAGAAAGCTACGGAAGCTTGGATGGCAGCGTTTGCTACGGTTTGCCTGATTTCCGTCACTATTGCGATCTTATCATTGTTGAAGCCAAGAAAACAATCTGCTGTTATGAGTACGGCTGGTAAGAATTGAAAAAAATTTTTTATTAAAAAAAAAAAAAAAAAAAAAAAAAAAAAAAAAAGAAGGAGAATTTATATTATTCATTTGTACCTTGATAAGTGATAAATATGTATATCCTGAATGTGTACATAACTGGTATACGAAATTACATGAGTATAATATATATATATATATATAATTAAGAGTAGGATTCTCTATTAAAGATAATCTGACCTTTCTAATCTAATTAAGATATATCTTATTTACAGAGAAAGCAATTACATGTCTCGCCGTTTGTCATGGGATCGTTGCAGTAGGTTACGTGATTCGATTAGCTGCTGGAAGATTGACCGTAGCTTGTACCCCTGCAATCCCGTTACATCCCCAAGATCAAGCGGTCATATCTCAACATCAACAACAATATTTGACCCAAGATGGATTAGCGAATCCTTATTGCGCTGTTGTCTTTCTCTTATTGTATTATTTTGGGAATGCGGCTATCGTATGGTAAGTTTACTCTTATGTTCTTTTATATATATATATATATATATATATATATACATATAAAAAAGAACATGAAGTATAATAACAAATTGATGAATGATCTGAATAAAAGTCAGGTCGAATGAAATTTACGTAAATTACGTATTATTTTACATCGGTAGAAAAATTCCTTTAGTTAGATTTCTTTGTGTAAAATCTTGAGAATCGATGTCGAACTAACTCGAATGAATGAAAGGTTCCCCTCTTCGTAAATACGAACCTGCTCAGAGAAAAGGAGAAAAAAAAAGTGTCAGTGAGATGAAAGAGAGAAAGAATAAGAAAGAGAGAGAGAGAGAGAGAGAGAGAGGCCTTACTTCCTGGTAATAAGATCATCGAAGCTACAAAAATCAGTAGAAAAAGGGTGTGTGTGCATTTGGAAAAGGGCTTGGACTCCTCTTCCGCACGGAGTTTATGTATGCTGGTGTTGCACACTTGGCGTGTAAGAGTGTGAGGAACGTTCAAGATTGGTGGTAGAGGGAAAGAAGGGATAACAATCTGGCAACAGTGTTGACTCCCCTCGTGCCGCTAACGAGCCTCCAACTCCCATCTCGTCTCATCTCGTCCCGTTTATACTGTGAGTCTCGTCTTACTGGATATAACGGGTGACCGTATAAAAACTTACAACATTTCCGCCTCTCAGTTTAACGTTCAAAAAGCCCGTGTCCCATCTTAAATTATTTCTCAAGATTTACTCCTACTTACTCAAACGTAAAACGTAATCTTTAAGTATTTCATTTAATACACACACACACACACACACACACGCACACAAATATATATATATATACATATATATATATATATATACACACATATTATAATTGAAGTTAAATGAGAGAATGATAAAATTATTATACGATCACTGGGTATTACAATAGGAATTTTTATCGTACTTTAAAAAGTAAATTAAATTACTATTATATAGTACTATATATTCCCCATGAAATCATACGATTGTTCCTACATATATACATGCGTGGCATGTTAAATCCATATTAAATATTTTCATATCATATACATATATATATATATATATATATATATATATATACATACACATATATATGTATATACATATATACATATGTATATAAAAAAAAAATGTATGAGAGATCATTGAATCAGACGGGAAGTTTTCAAAGCGGCTGGTGGAAGCCGATCAAACGATCCGAAAAGCCTGCCTTAACGAACGGCCCTTTTGTGCACATATATATATATATATATATATATATATATATATATATATATTTTGCTTACCCTTGATCCTAATTCTGAATTCGGCAATTGTTGCCGCGGTGATTTACATATGGCGGAATTCGAGAATATACCGGCTGTGGAAGTGAGGAAGAATGGGGAAAAAAGGAGGTGAAAGAAAGAAATGGGGAGAGTGGGTGAGCTGAGGTTAGGGAAGGGAATGAAGGAATGGTCTGAAGGGATAGGAAGGAGGGTGGGCTAAGAAGAATGGTGAACGCTTGTAAGCTTGTGTGTAAGGTGTGTATACATATTACGTTTTTACGTGTGCGTAAATAAGCGTACGCGTGGAAAGGGATGGTTAAAGAAGGGGAAACTGTGTTGGGGAGAACGAACGAAAAGGAAGGAAGAGAAGAAGTAGAAAGGGAGTAGGAGGAGAAGGAGGAGGAGGAGGTGGAGAAGGAGGAGAGAGAAGGCGGGACAATGCATAGAAGTGCTATTGAGTCCATGGGATGTGGTTCGTGGCTTCGTGTCCGTAGGGCGCGATATTTATCGGCTCTTTCGATGTAAATTATGGCTGTACACTATGTACTTCGGTGCATTGGCCCATTGCCTTCCACGATGGAACCCCATCTATACTACTCGTGCAGACCTATATATATATATATATATATATATATATATATATATATATATATTATATGTATATATATATAATATGTATATATCTTATATATGTAGTTCGTATCCAAAGGTACGATCGAGGGAGTCTACATATGTAAGAGAGTTTCACGCTCAGGGTCGTTCACTGGCATGAGAAAGGCATGGATTACTTTTTTTCTTACTCCTCTTTATTTTTTTTCTTTTTTTTTTTTTTTTTAATTTTCTTTTTTATATATATATATAAATCTCTCTTTCCTCCTCGTTAAAGTGGACGTTAAACTTAAGTAACACTCCTTTAATATGAAATATTAATTAATACTTCGTCTCAATACGATTATCTTTATATAATTACTTCATTTTTCATCGATATCCAATCAATGAATGATAATAGAAATAAAAGAGAGGAATCGATAAGTCGTACGTTTCTACGCCAATGAGGAACGAGTGCGAGGGGTCCAAAAGTTGGATCTTTCGAGACGCGTGAGTACCTACGATGCCGAGAGGTAGAGATCGGCAATGTCGCCCTTTGTGCCTTTCCCTTCTCACCCCTCACCTTTCTCCCCACGACCAGTCACCCTCTTAACGCTCCCTCGCCCGCCCACCCCGCCATTCTATCTACCATTTCTTCTTTTTTCGATTTCTCTCTCAACGTAGTTCTTCTTCTTCTTCTTCTTCTTCTTCTTCTTCTCTCGTGCATCTCTCGGTACTCCACCACCAGGTTCTTCTTCGGCGTCTTCATGGGCGTCTCAGGAACAAGGAAAAAAGGATAAAGTCGTGGAAGAGGACGGGTCTGAGAGAGAGCTGATCCATCATCTCTGCTCCCCGGTGCTCCATTGCGACTCGATCCTGCTGTCCAAGTTCCCTCCTACCTACCTACCTACCTACCTACGTACCTACCTACCTACCTACCTACCTACCTACCTACCTACCTACCTATCTACCTACTATGTTCGTCTGTTCCTTCATTCGTTTGCCTGCTTGCTTGCTTGCTTGCTCTCTTGCTTGCTTGTTCGCCTGCCTGCCCTTCCTCCCTCTCGCCCTCCTATGGGCTTTGTCCCTTAAGCTCTCTCTTTCTCCCTCTCTTTCTCATCGGTAGACAGGCTTAAGAGGATCCGGATCCAAGAATTCCTCGATAATTTATCCGAGATAAGGGGTCCTACAACGAGCTCGCTTGCAGCCTCTCCTCTCAAGTTCAGGCTTCTTCCTCTCCCTTTACCTGTTCTCGATAACGAGCCAAACTCATGGCCCCCGATCTTATGCCTAAGATTGTACCAGACACCACATCGATGTATGTGTATATGTTCTTTCTCTCTCTCTCTCTCTCTCTCTCTTTTACCTTCTTATAGGTACCTATCAGGTATCTTCCTAAAACACGATTATTGTCTCCTTTTCATTCGGAGCTAACCTTTTTTTCTCCCTTAAGAATAGAAACAATAATGGTAGGGTGGGAATGGTAGGGTGGTAGTAGTAGTAGTAGTAGTAGTAAGTGCTAAGGGTTCGAAAGGTTAAAGGTGTACTCTTTTTGGTGATCTCTTATCTCCTCTCGTTTCTCCTTTCTCTTTATCCTTCTACTTTTCTTTTTTCTTTTCGTAGAAACTTCATGCTGATTTTTCTTCTTCTTCCTTTTTCTTTTTTCCCCCTTTTCTTTCCTTTCTTTCGTTTTTTTTTTCATCCTTTCTTTAAGACCATTTAAGTTAAAACCTTCAAGATTTTCTATCGTAGTACTTCTTGAAAAGTCGATGTTCTCGATACTGATCAATAACGTTGCACTTCCTTACTTAACACATTCCCTTTTCTTTCTTCTTTTTTTTTTTTTTTTTTTTTTTTTTTTTTTTTTTTTTTTTTTTTTTTTTTTAAGGGATAGTATCTATTTTTGTAAAAAAAAAAAAAAAAAAGCAGAAATTCTTCGGAAATATGGTAATAGCGTGGGTGGCATCGGTACTGGTTCGAAAAGATAGACCAGTTTTCTTATATCTTATTCTTTATCTTTATTCTTTATTCTTTATCTTTATCTTCATCTTCATCTTTATCTTTACCTTTCCTTCTTTTTTTTTTTTTTTTCCTTTTTTAGAAACTTCAGTTGGATCCTTTTTAAACCGTTAGGTATGGATCCTGCAAGATCTTGAAATACAGTTTTCCTTGAAATGTAACGGGATTTCTATTCCTAATGTCTTTCATTATTTACGCTTCTAAATGCATTATCCTTTCACAAGGGTTCTAATCTTTTTTCTTTTTTTTTTTTGTTTGTAAAAATCGAAATAGTAGATGGTATTGATTATTCGCAAGATTGAAGATGAACTGATTTTTTTATCTCTCTCTCTCTTTCTTTTTCCTATAGAGACTTCACTTAGATCTCTTTCAAATTATTAAATTGATCTTGCATAATCTTTAGTTTTAATTTTGCTGAAAAAATAGATAATCTTGAATACACTTAATTGATTTAACTTTTAACGCATTGCCCATTCACAATGATTTAATCTTCTTATCCTTAAGAATAGAAATATTTATGAATGACATGGTACGAAAAGTTACAAGTGAATTGACATTTTTGTATATCTTTCTCTCTTTTTTCTTTCTTTTTTTCTTTTTCTTTTTTTTTTCCTTTGTAAAAAACTTCAAGAAGATTTCGTTCGAACCATTAAGCTTGATCCCCCGAATAATTTTCACTTTAAGGTTTGCTCGAAGAATGAACGTTCTTGATTATGCTTCGTTACTTTCACATTCACAATCATTCAATCTTTTTGTCGTAAGATAAAAAAAATATTTATGAATGTTAAGTAATAATAGTAGTAACGAAGAATTCAAAGTGAATCAATTTTTTTTCCCCTCTCTTTTTTTTTTTTGCTCCCTTTTCGTAAAAACTCGAACGTAATTTCATTCGTATCATTGAATCGACACATTGTAATTTTCAATTACAATTTTGTTCGAAAAACGAACGATATTTTTTTAAAACGTGCTATCATTAGCTATCATTTCTAACGCATTATCACAATGATCTAATTTTTATTATCGTAAAAATAGAAATATTTATGAACGACGTGATAATGTTGATTCGAAAAGTTACAAGTGAATTAACATTTTTATCTATTTATCTATCTATCACTCTCTCT